CTGTTCAAACTGTTGGGATTCACCCATATATGTAGGGCTTCTGCAGTCAGTCTTTCTTTATATGAACCAAAACCTTTCTGTAAAACCTTAGTCTTATCAAAGTCGATTTTGTGTCCCGTTTCTATCGAGTGCAGTGCAATCGCTGAGTTGTTTTCTAGCTTCTTCAAGTCTGCAGAGGTCTTTGGAACCACCTTTAGACATTGTTTATGCTCTTTCACCCTTACATTTACCTGTCTGGAAGTTTCTCCTACATATACGGCGTTACAATCCCCACAATTGATCTGGTATACACAGTTTTGTTGGTTTTCTTGTTCTATTTTATCCTTAACCTTAACCACCTATTATTTCTTTTTCATCTCAGTATTATAAAACAGCCTTTTCACTTATGTACAACCATTTCTGTGCACAGTTGGAATAATCTGCTAGATCGTCAGTGAGTGCAACACATCAGGAAATACAGTAGTCTTCGCATTAACAAAAAATCAGGTCTTTGGTGGATGGATTGTAAGTGCCTGGGAAAAAATAAAGCATGAAGTAAATTTTCATACATAACTTTGTTGTGTGCAGAATCCTTGAATTGTAGTTCATTGATGTGTTATTTTTAAATCAGTGATGTGTTTATCTCATTTGATCTGCAATGTCATTGTTGGGAGTAAATATATAAGCTTCAGACGCATTAATTAATGGATTTCTACTGCTTGTGGGTATTTTCTTAGCGTGAGGAAGGTTGACGAGTTTCAGCTGTTCCGACGGGAGCTGAGAATATTAACTGCTTAGCAACATTATGGATATAAGTTCATCACATTGTCGAAGGAAAGGTGTGTTGCAGTTGGTGAGGGATAAATGGTGCCCAACGAGCGTACATCTGTCCATGTGATGCTGTGGTGAGTTATACCTTTTTCACGTCGTCGGTTTATGTCCATTTTATTCCACTTATTGTGTTGGGTAGTAGTTTTACAAACGAGATTTCTTGTCTGTTTGAGGATACGTATCTTAACCGTTAATGTTTTATCTAGAATTATAAATATAGGCAAAAAACAACAGGTGTAGTATTTAAGCCTATACATTAAATGGACCTATAATT